CCATTCAGCACGATTTTGGGCGTATATCCCTATTCGATCACCTGAAAACCAGTAATCATACCGTGACCTACAGTATGTTATTTATTCTCTTTTCAACTCTGGACCATGAATGGATCGAATATCCGTTCAGCCAATACAGTAACTGACTGAAAGGCACTTAAGTGGTTGGGTGAGCGCCCAGAAGTAACTGACTGAAGTAGGTATTAGAGTTTAAGTTAGAGTTAGTTTCTACGGCTCAGATTTAGTAACCACTGAGTAGTACTTAGTGCTGTACCCCATCTATTTTACAGCACTAGCTCCTATGCTTATAAACTTTCGGGCTTGAGAAGTTGCCTTAGTTTCCAGGAAGCTCGTAGAGAAGCTTTGGTGTTTTCGGATTAGGAAAAAAGGAGTAAAATCAGCTTGGTACCTGGTTTCGTTTCGAGCTCGCCTATAATTGCTGACGCGAAATCGGTTGATTCTTTTAGCACCTCAGAATACTTTCGGAAATGGTAGTGCCCATCTTGACGTGTTCCTACACAGGGTCCATCTTTACTTTCCTGAAATCAAACACTTCCATCGGAATGATATAATAACGATATTGAGGAAACTCCTGTTTAAGAAAACCCCTCAACAATGTCCGAAAGATGATAACCCTGAAACCGTTGCATGGGGTGCTAAGTCACGGCAAGCTAGCAAAATGGGATTCTTAGACTGGGTGCGTCATACGGCCACCGGGCTTGATTTACAGTGAGCCCATGGCAACTATTCTAGGATTACCTTCTGGTGTTACAAAATAAATGAATAAATGCTAGGGTTCTTGCGTGTTTTTTCTTTGGCTTGAGAAATTATGTTAGTGAATGGTGGAATTGTGACGAACTACAAAACAATTACGATCAAGAAGGTCGGAAAAATAAGTAAGTTTGCGTTTATACTCAAATGATTATGCGAAAACAGCTCACTTTGAGTCCTCTGTTGAATACATCCCATATGGTATGAATTTCTGGAAAAACCTTCTCTATAACTTTCTCATCGTCCGACAGTAGAAGTCCGCTCTTGTAGACCCCTGGTTCATCCTAAATATGGAGGGCTTCAGTCTTTTTTTTCTTTTTTTCCTTAGAGGGATGCTTGAAATATTTCCCTCTCCTCGAAAAGTCTCCAAGAAGGTACCATCAATGCTCTTATCATGTCTTTTAGAACTCTAAGCGTCTCAAAACTGTCTTTAAAGTGATTAAACGAACTGGTATGATCACATGATGAAGGGCAATGACAGGGGCAGTGTGCCGAGGCTTTTCAGCTTCGACCCGTAAAGAAATTTTAGAAAAAATTAATCCTGAAAGGAATACCATTGTACTGTACCTTACCTTAACCGGTAATGACTGCTTCTCTCTGGAAGGCTCTGGTGATGATTTGATAGGTTTTTTCGTTCGGTTTCGTAGCATTATCAAAAACACAGATCCCAATAAAGCAATGGCTCCGGGAAAAAATGCCCACATTACTGAAATGCGAGCCGCCATAGGACGTTTCTGTGCTGTCATAGACATTTCAGTCAGACTTTTCACAATTGAATGAAAAACATCGAATTTTTTAACGAAACGAACATCGGAATGAATACTACAGTACTTACAAAATTGTAAGATAAATTCCGGTCACTGAAAATCTGATCAGACGACCATAATCCGATCTGAATAAAATAGAAAAAGCTCCTCTTCTAATAAAATGATGCAGAGGAATAGAAAAAACTTTTAGAGTGGTAAACTTCTTTTCAGGATACGCCATGGATTTGGCTTTTATCGAAAATCGGGCTGTTGTTTGAAAGCATTCCTGCTTGGCAAAGTAACCTGCTGAGGGCAGCTCATGAAGAATCTGCTACGACGACCCCTATAATGGTCTATGACGGACAGAATGACCGTGGAAGGATCAGGATAACCTAAGAGAGCAGATTAATCAAGCTTAACCCAGGTCAGTAAGGCTATCGTTTTTCCGGAGTCAATCAATCGTCTCAAGTGGCGCCACCTACCACTCTCATGTCTTCCCGAATCACTTGTAAAGGTCATTAAACAACCAAAAAAAGCGTTTTGTGGAGGCAGAGTTATCACTGCTAGCGAATTACTTTTATAGCAAAATTATTTTTGTAAACGTATGGATAAATAAATAAACATCCCATAGGGGAAATAAATCAAGACACTCTGCTTACTATAATGGCTTAGCTGTAGAAGGGCGTGGAAGGCCACCTGGATGCCAAGGGAAAAGAAACGGCAAACAAAACGGAAAGTAAATGGTAATTCCAACAGAATCTCCAGGGAAGTGGCATGATAGAATCTCAAAGCTCTAGAACAATACTTCTTCCGGTAGTATAAAAGCAAAAATCAATTAGTAACAGGGTTGTAAGTCTAAATAAACTATAGGAGATGATAAGGGCGAAACTGCCGCACCCATGCGAAAGGGAGAGGGGTGGGGGAAAGATTCGGGCTTAACTTTAAAAATCAATTGGTGATTGGATACGTGGTGATCGACTAGAATGTGACCTTGAAATTTGCTGATCTACGGACCAATCCCTGGGAGCACCTTGAAGCTTTCCGTACGGAACCAGTGGGTTTGGAACAAGTATGGAGTCGGGCTCATGGGTACGTCAGGCCTGGGACTG